CTCCTTATCGATCACTTCTCCCAGGCGCACCCCGAGGCCAGTCGGAAGGGCGGGCTGGGCGTTTCGCCTGAGACTTCCATGCAGCTTATGATCAGAGAGCTCAGAGATTGGCACCAGGGTCACGGATGGAGGGCGAGTGGTTTTCGAAATGTGGGTGTCGCCCTAGCGCCGCGCACATTCGTCTTCACAAAATCCCACAGCGTCACGGATTGAGGGCGGGTCGTTTCCAGAATCTGGCTCTCGCCTTAACGCCGCGCACATTCGTCGGGTCGTTTTCAAAATGTGGCTCTCGCCTTTGCGCCGCGCACATGCATCTTGAAGTCCCACAACTGTCACGGATTGAGGGCGACTCCGTTTCGAAATTCGGCTCTCGCCTTTGGCGCCGCGCACATCGCTTTATACGTGTACAAGAGCTTCTCGGATTGAGGGCGGGTCCTTTTCAAAACGTGGCTCTCGCCATAGCGCCGCGCACACTCTTAAAGATTGGAAGGGATTCACGGGTTCCCATGGTCGACGGTTCAGAGATGGTGTTTTGGAACGGTTCACGATTGCCAGGGCGCGACAGGTACGTTGATTTCTTTTGTTGAAGTCCCTGGAATAGCGTTCTGACACTGTTCATGATCATCAAAACGCAGTCGGATTGAGTCGTGGCGTTAGTCCCGATAATGATCTTTTGGTACGTTTCAGGATCTTCAAACGGTTCTCCAAACGGGACACGTCCCCCGGTGGCAATGAAGTCTTGCAGGGGACTATGAAGAGGGAGCCTGGAGGGAGGGCTTATGGGAGCCTGGAGGGAATCTGCATTCCTCCAACGTCGTTGATGAGTCGTGGGTTTACACTGGTCCTCCTCCTCCTCGTCATCCTCTTCGTCTTTCTCCTCCTCCTCCTCCTCCTCCTCCTCCTCCTCCTCCTCCTCCGCGTCATCATCATCATCATCATCATCATCATCATCATCATCATCATCATCATCATCATCATCATCATCATCATCATCATCATCGTCATCATCGTCATCGTCAGCCTCATCATCATGATCATCATCATCATCATCAGCAGCAGCAGCAGCAGAAGCAGCAGCATCATCATCATCATCAGCATCGTCATCGTCATCGTCATCGTCGTCGTCCTCGTCCTCGTCCTCGTCCTCCTCCTCCTCGTCCTCGTCCTCGTCGTCGTCCTCCTCCTCCTCCTCATCATCCTCCTACTCCTCCCTCCCTCCCTCCCTCCCCCCCTCCCTCCCTCCCCCACCCCATCCATCCCTCCCTCCCTCCCTCCTCCTCCATCCCTGTTCTTTATCCGCCACCGTGCTTTCAGCACGTGGTGCAGTGCCCCACGGCTACTGGTGTTCTGCAAGGTAGGGGGAAAAAGTCCCCAGGGGTTGTTTAAGGGCCCCGACCCTCGGTTTCCCAGCGGTTCCTGGGAATTCCTGGGAATCCCTGGAAGCTCTTCGGGTGTGTCGCGTGCGCCTTCTGGAAGCCAGGAGGGCCCCCTAACAGGCCGGGAGGGACCGAGGAGGCCGCGAAGACGGCCCAAGAGCGCCTCGAGATCGTCCCCAGGTCGTCAATATGTCTTGAAGATGGCCCAAGAGGCCTCGAAAAGGGCTCAAGCGAGCACCAAAAGCGCCCCCAAGGCAGCCCCGAGAGGACAAAGATTGCAACCATCATTAGAGAAAAATTATAGTTTGAATGTTCGCTTTCTCGGCACAACAGAATTCTAGGCAGCCCGAGAAGCCTCCATACTCGTCTCAAGGCAGCCCACGAGGCCCCCAAGAGAGCCCCAAGACAATCGAAGAAGGCCCCGAGACGGCCAAACAGGCGGTCAAGACCAACCAGCGGGCCTCAAGAAGGCCCCCAGGGGGGGCCCCAGAGGACACACGAACGGACTGTTCGAGCCCTGCGACCCAAGAGGCCCTCAGGAAGCCCCGAGGCGCCCACCAAGAGGCCCCAAGACTCACCCAAGAGTCCCCCAGACGGCCCCAAGACGCCCCCAAATGACTCTCAAAAAGGCTCAAGTGAGCCCCAAGAGGCACGCTAGAATAGCCCCAAGGGTCACAAGATCAACCCAACCGCCCCCCAAGATCCCCCAGACCTACTGTTCACAAATGGCGTGCGAAAGACAACGGCAGCACTCTGGCTGGTAGAGGAATGCTTGTCACTGAGCTCCAGGAGACATTCTCTCTAGCTCTCCTCTCCTCCCTCATTAGTTCCCTCATGATCTTACTTCCCCCAAGATCCCCCCATAACCTCATCAAGCCATTAAGGAGCCCCCCGGGGTTATCATTAGCACCGCACCGTAATGCGGTTTACGCCGAACGATATGATCAGCACCGCGCAATTTGAACGAGAATAAATAATTGCCGCGCCCCGGCTCGGCTGACATCCCAGCTGGAAGTGGAATAATAATCAGAGTGGCATACGAGTAATATTAATAAAAATGATAATACGAATAATGCTAAGAGTAATAACAACAATAAAAACAAATAACAGTAACAAGAGTAATGATACGAGTAATAATACCAATAAGAATAAGAACCATAATAAGAATCGAAATCAGAAAAATAAAAAGAAACATAATAATAGGAATAAGAGTAATACGAATACTGATAAGAAAAATCATAAGACTATGAATGCGAATGAGAAAAATAATAAGGATAAGAGTGAGAGTAATAATAAGAATGAGGGTAAGAATCAGAGTAAATATAAGACTGATAATAGTAATAAGCATAACCAGAACCCGAATAAGAATCGTAATACGAATGAGAATAATAATAAAAACATGAATAGGCATCATAATCATAATAGTAACGCGAATTAAATTCATAAAAAGAATACGAATAAGAGTAAAAGAGGTTCTCAATATCTTCATCATCCTTGTCCTATACGATTCGTATTACCACCCCTGTTGAAAAAATGTGGTTTCCCGGCCGTCGTGTGGGGTGGCCGCCACGCACGGCGCGGTATCTTAGCACCGCACCCGCACAAAATGATTACGACAGCTTGTCCAAAAAGACAAGAAGTACAATAATAATACTAATAGTAATAATAATAAGAAGAAGAAGAAGACAACTAAGAGTAAGACAAATCATAAGATAAAATAATAAGCATACGAGTAAGAGTACGCATACTAATAAGAGTAAAAAAGCGAAAACAGACGGGCTCCCCTGCTTCTTTCCTCCCTCCCTCCCTTCTCATTTTCGTCATCATCCTTGTCCAATACGATTATTATTACCACTCCTATTGAAACATTGATTATTCCCGGCCTTCGTGTGGGGTAATTCGTGTGCATCCGAGGATATCGCCCCCGCCACGCACGGCGCGTTATCTTAGCACCCGCACCGCCAAAATTATTCGCCCCCCATCATAGACACGGACGGTTCCTTTTCAAAGCTGGGCTCTTCCTTGTGAGGGACTTAATTTTGTTATTGTTGGTGTTGGCGGTGTTGTTGGTGTGTTTGATGTTGATGTTGTTGTTGGTGTTGCTGTTGTTGGCCTTGTTGTTCTAGATATAATTATTATTGCTGGTACTATTGTCGTTGTTCGTGTTGGTGCCGTGCTGTAAGGGAGTCTTGAGGAGGAGGAGCAGGAGGAGGACTTATTCTGCTTAACTGGGCCACAACCTCTTGACTGAGGCCTTGGCCCTCGGCTTGATGCGTAATGGCGAATAAGAGCCAAAATGGCTACGGGGGGGAGGAGGAGAAGGACGAAGAGGAGGAGGACCCCTGATGATGAGGAATAGGAGGAGGAGGACCCCTGAGAAGGACGAAGAGGAAGAGGAAGAGGACCCCTGCTCGGAAGGCCGAGCGCTGGGAAAACTCGCGGCCACTCCAGTTCTCGCCCAGACCGACTACCTGACGTAGACTCGTCTGCGTCCAGAGCAGTTTCTGAGGATTTCTCAGGCGAGTCGCTTGTTTCAGAACCTCAGGGAGACCATATTGCGAGAATGTCTCAGGCGACTTGCTTGTTTCGGCGAGCAGACTCGTCTGCGTTCACATAAAGGTGCGAGGTGCCAAGGTAACGCTTCTGGGGTGCCGGGTGCGTTATACTTTCGCCGGAGAGGGGGGGGGGTCCTTTATTGCTTGCTGCGGTTACCTGCAAGGGGCCACCAGACAGGCCCCAGTGACTCCCAAGAAAAGCGCCAAAAGAGCACCAAGAGCAACCCAAACACCTCCCAAGAGCCCCTAGACACCCCCAGGGGGCTCCCAAAGGCTTCCGAGGCAGTCAAGAGCGTTCCAAGACGCCCAAGATGGCATCAAGACGGCTCCACAGACCCCAAGACGCTCCAAGAGAGCTGCACGAGGACTCCCCCAAAACCCCAAGAGGCAATAATAGTCAATCCCATAGGGAAACATACATTTTTGACATCCGCGCCTTTGTCGTCTCAACAGCGTTAACGCAGCCCCAGAGGCCCACAAGATCGTCCCAAACCGCCCAGGAGGCCCCCATGAAAGCTCCAAGAAGTCTCAAGATTGCCCAAGACGCCCCAAGATTGCGAAAGAAGGCCCACCAGGCTTCCGAGAAACGCATACGGAGGGACAACTGGAAACGATATGTTGAGTAGTCCACCCCTAGACGACCTCTGGGACCGCCAGCAGGCTCCCCAGAGGCCCCCTAAGAAGTCAAGAGGCATCCAAGAGGCTCCAAAGAGGCACTCAGGAAGCCGAAAATAAGCCCCAAACACAGAACAATGAGGCCCCAAGAGACATCAATCCTCTTTCAACGAAGCCCCCGACAGGCATCCCAGGAGACCCCAACATACGTCCCAGAGGCTATTGGCCCACAACCCATCGACTCAAATCTAGAGCGGCAAGCTTGTCATGGCTCTGTCATGGCCTATCGTTCCGGTCTGTCAGACTCCTACCATGGCTTACGATGGAGCAACGATAAGGATACGTGAGTACGCCGCGCCACTGCCCGTTTCCCGTGTGCCGCGCCCCTGGAGAAAGAACGCCAACCGCCACGCCCACTTGATTGCGACCTCTGAACCGCAGCGCAGGCACGGTCACGGGATGGGCCGAACGGCCATGAGGTCCGCCGCCCCCCGTGGCTTGTCACAGGGGCGCACCTTCCAAATGTATGGGATATCTTTCGTTCTGTTGTAATAAAGAACTCACCTTGGGCCTTCGGCCCAGCCCGCCGGCCACCCGGAAAACGCACCTCCCGTCGGCTCGTTCGCGGCCAAGATGGCCCTAAGAGAACCCAAGATGGCCGAAAAATGTAGCCAAGACGGGCCAAGATGCACTCAAGACGGCCTACGATGGGCTCAAGATGACCCAAGACGGCCCAAGAAGCTGCCAGGAGGCCTCCAAGACGGCCCAAGAGGCCTCCAAGAGGATATACAGAAAGAATAGAAGAGGTCGAAATCATGGATTGTCCGCTGATGCGCGAATGGTTCTGGCTTCCACGCCGTGTCGGTTTTCCGATGGCTCCAGACGCTCCGACAGACCCCCAAGATCGCCGCAAAGGCTTCCAAAATGGCCCCATGACGGCCCAAGAAGGCCCCACGACGGCCCCAAGACAACCTCGGATTGCAGCCATGACGGGCTAAATTGGCCTCCTGATGACCCAAGAGGCTCCTAAGAGGCCCACCAGAGGCCCGCAAGAGGGCCCAAGAGGCCTCCAAAAAGTCCTTCAAAGGCCTGGAGATACCAAAACCATTGATGCTCAAGTGTTTTTGAAGGATGTTGGCATTCGCTCTTGTTTGGCCTTCCGACGACCCAAGACCGCCCAAGAGGTCTCCAAGACCGCCCCAAAATCACCCAAGAAGAGGCCCCCATAATGGCCTCATGAAGGCTCAAGATGGCCCACAGAGGGCCCACAGACGGCCCCAGAAGCACCCAAGACGCTCAAGATGGCCTACAAGACGTCCAGAATGGCCCCACGAGAGCCCAAGATGGCCGCAAAATGCATCCGAAACGGCCCAAGATGCAGCCTAGACGGACTAAGATAACCTCAAGATGGCCCAGAACAGCTCAAGAGGCCCTTAGGAGGCCTCTCCAGGCGGTCATTCAGGAGGACCCGAAGATGGCACAATCATTGATTTGCCTGATGGTTTTGAAAAATTCTGGCGTTCGCTCATTTTCGGCTTTCCGACGACCCAAGACGGCCGCAGAAACCACCAAGATGGTCCCGAGAGCGCCCAAGAGACCTCCGAGATGGCCCCAAGAGGCCCCCCAAGACGGCCCCAAGGCGGCCCAAGACACGTCCAAGACGCACAAGATGGCCTCTAAAACGGCCCTGCAGCGCTCCAAGAGGGACCCACGTCGGCCCAGAAAAGCTCCCAAGACGGGTTCCGACGGCGTCTGACGGGCCAGGCAAGCCCACAAGCGGCCAAAGGGCCTCCCAGGGAGCCTCCAACGGCCCCCAAAAGAAAAGGCCCAAGGAAGCCCCCAGAGGCCTCCCAGAGGCCCCCAGGAAACTCCCAGGAGGCTCAAGGAGTGCAGCAAGAGGTTCCTGAAAGGCCTCGCCCTCCTCCTCCTCCTCCTCTTCCGCCTTCCCCTTTGTCCTCCCTCTGCTCCTCCTCCTCTTCTTTCTCCCCCTCGTGTTCCCCGAAGGGTTTCCACAACGGCTGGGGGCACACATGTTCGATAGCTTGGCTGAGCTCTGGCCGCAACGCTCGGCCACGCAGGCGCTTCCAAGAGGCGGGGGGCTGCGGTGACTCGCCGCGGGCGCCTTGGATCAACTCGCTGGCCGAAGTGGCCAGGGGCGCGCTGAGATCTCTGGTGACGGGCGTAGGAGATTTCTAAGTCGCGCGCGCGTGCAGCCCCTGGGGGTCGCCGGGTGAAAAGCGCCCCGGCCGATCTCCAGCAAGGTCCGGTCGGAGATGGTTATGCTCCTGGGGGCGCCCTCGGGGCTCCCCAGAGCCCCAAGAAAGGTCAAGAGGCCCCCAAGAGGCCCCCAAGAGGGTCCAAGGATGATCCGAAGCGCCAGAAGACCTTTCCAAAGCCCACAAGATGGCCCCAGACAGCCCAAGAGGCCTCCAAGACGCCCTAAGAAGCCTCCCAGAGCACTCCCAATAGCACCCCTAGAGGCAAGAATCATAAATCGTCCTTCGCGTTTGGAAAGATTTTAGCGTTCTCACCATGTCGGCTTCCCGACGTTCCGACACGGCCCATGAGGCCCCAAAGATCGCCCCAAGACGGCTCGAGAGGCCTCCAAGAGGGCCTGAAGACGGTCAAAGAGGGCCCCAAGACCACCCAAGAGGTTTCCAGGACCCATTAGGGCCCCAGGACGGCCCCGAGAGAGGGCCAAGATGGGAATCCCGAGCGGACAGTTCGAGCCCTCGGCGCCAAGAGGCGCCCGCGAGGCCCCCAAAGGCCCCCCAAAGCCCCCCACCATCTTCAAAGGGCCCCCACGAGGCCCCAGGAGAGCCCAAAGGGGCCCACGCCCCCAGGAGGACCCCAAAGTTGCTCCCAGGGGGACCCCCCACGGCTCTCCGAGGAAGCCCCGAGAGGCCTCCACGAGGGCTCCGACCACAGACCGGGGACGGTGGCGGGATCGGCCGAAGGCCAGTGGATGAGCCTCTCCACGAAGGCCTCTCGTCCATGAGTTCATCGAGTATCACGCTCCAGACACAGCAGCCTGGATGTACAGTCGGGGCGTTGACCTAAGGAACCCTAAATAAGGAGCGAGGCCCCTTTTTCCCATAAGTTCAACCTCGATTTCCCATCGAAAACCTAAGGAAAACCTGGAGCAAGCTGTGAAACAATCAAGGAACGCGAAGCCCCTCCCCAACCGAAAAAAGTTCCTTCTTCAGGGCCCCGACTGTATCACGCTCCAGACACATCAGCCTGGATATAAGCACACGGATACACACAGGACTCAGCATTACGATCCAAAGAGCGGGAGGTCGATCGGAAAGATAGGAGCTGGAATCGGAGAGTGGACCGAGGACAATGAGGAGGAAGAGGATGAGGAGGAGGAGGAGGAATAAAAGAATGAAGGCCCAAAAGGGAATGTTGCGGTTACAGCCTCAATAGAGGCGCAACTCCGCTTCCGCCTCAGCGGCGCGCATCAACGCGGGGGCGCTCGTTCACGAAGGGGTCGCGGGCACGAGCTGAGACCGACCTCCGCCCCGCTTCAGCAGGCTAACACCTAGTCGCGCCAGGGGAGACACCGCGTTGCTCAGCGCCCGAACCCCACAAGCACGTCTACCTGTGAACCCCCAGAGAAGGTCGCAACTCCAATCAGGGGCGAAGGACATCCTGCTGGGGCGAAGGACCCAACTCGGGAGCGGCCAAGAGGAGGGTGTTCAAGAGGGGGGGGTGCAAATCATGACCGGCGGCATGTGCGCGGCCCATGGGGGGGGCCAGGGACGTAATCAAATAAGAGGAGGCGCCACGAAATCTGGGGAAACATCATGGCCCCCGCCATGATATCCAAGCCCCCCTAGTCATCACCCCCCCTCTTTGCCGCCCCCGATGCCAGGGCTCAAACCTGGCTGCGAGGACCCGGGCGGTGGGGGCAGGCCGCTCTCCGGCCAAGGGTGCGCACAACGTCCACCATCGGGCTTCTTAACCCAGGGGCCGTGCCGCCCTCCCAATTTAAGAGGGTCCAGAGGGAAGGGGGCGGAGGGGCCTCCTGGCTCACGCCCTTACGACGCTCGCCCCCAGGAGGGGAAGGGCGGGGGGAGGAGGAGGAGGAGGAGGAGGAGGAGGAGGAGGAGGAGGAGGAGGAGGAAGAGGAGGAGGAGGAGGAGAAGGAGGAGGGTGAGGGAGAGGGGGAGCAGGAAGAGGAGGAGCAGGAGGAGCAGCAGCAGCAGCAGCAGCGGGAGAACAAACCTGCCGCCACCAGCCTCTGAAAATCCACCACAGCCCCCGCAGCGCCGCTGGGGCAGCGAACACGCGGGCAAATGCCAGCGATGCAGCATCATGGGCCAGTGGAACGAACGAAGCGAATCAACAACTCAACTCCCTGCCGCACCCGCAGACGTGTCAGCAGGGCGGACCAAGCGTTGCGCCTGAGACCTCCTCACCACGTGTGATCCTGAGGCTTCCAATCTGCAGCAATTTCACGGATGGGAGGCGGGTCGTTTGCAAAATGTGGCTCTCGCCGTAGCGCCGCGTACATTTGTCAGAACAACACATTCACGGATGGTGGGGGCAGGCCGCCTTCAAAATGTGGCTCCCTACTGAGCGCACTAGCCGGGCGGGCCTCGATCGTCGGGTCCGTTGACTCCAGCACTTGCCCAGCTGCCAAAGTCGTGCAACTCCGTGTATAGCGCGGACGGCCGAACCGAACCGAGCCCTTCTCTCCTCCGACCTCCTCCAACCAACATTTCTCACTGCTCCACTACTCCTCATCATCCTTCTCCACCGCATGATGCACCGCTTCCAGCTCCATCCCTGTCTTACCATCCCCCCACCCTGCCTTGACACACTGGGGCACCCCCGGCCTGCTTGTCCCCGCTGATGGCGAGCTCAAGACCGTCTCGGATACTCTCCACCTCCCGAGGAGCACTGTTCCTCCTCCTCCCCCTCCTCCTCATCATCAGCATCATCGTCATCGTCATCATCATAATCAACATCATCATCCTCATCATCCTCATCATCATCATCATCATCATCATCAGCATCATCACAATCATCATTCATTATCAGCATCAGCATCACCTCCTCCTCCTCATTCATCAACATCAACGTCATCGTCATCGTCATCGTCATCATCAGCATCATCATCAACAACATAATCAACAACATCATCATCATCATCATCATCATCCTCATCAATCATCATCATCATCATCAGCATCATCATCATCATCATCACCATCATCATCATCAACATCATTTGCATGACCATCATAATCATAATCAGCATCATCAACATCACCATCGTCATCGTCATCGTCATCGTCAACATCATCAGCATCATCATCAACAGCATCATCAACCGCATCAGCATCATGGGCAGCATGGCCATCATCATCAACATCATCCGCATTACCATCATGATCAACATCATAAGCATCAGCACCATCAACATCATCATCATCATGACCATCATAATCATCATCAGCATCATCATCCTCATCATCTTCAGTTGCATCACCATCATCGGTTGCATCGTCATCAGCACCATCATCATCAGCAGCACCTTCATCATCATTAGCAGCAGAAGCAGCATCATCAGCACCATGGTTTGCATCATCAGCATCATCATCATCAGCATCGTCATCAGCAAACTCATCTTCATCATCATTAGCATCATCACCATGATCATCATCATCATGATAATCGTCATCGTCATCGTCATCGTCAACATCATTATCAGCAGCAGCATCAGCATCAGCATTCGCATCCTCAGCACCATCAGCACCACCAGCATCATGAACATCAGAGGCAGCAGCATCAACATCAGCATCATCATCATCATCATGATGATGATCATCATCATCATCATCATCATCACAATCAGCATCATCATCACCATCATTAGCATCGGAAGCAGCTTCGTCATCATCAGCATCATCATCATCATCATCATCGTCATCATCAGCAGCAGCATCAGCAGCACCATCATCGCCATCATCAGCATCATCGTCATCAGCAGCAGCACCACCATCATCATCATCATGAGAATCATCAGCATCATCATCAGCATCATCAGCATGAGCAGCATCATCATCAGCAGCAGCATCATTATCATCATCATCGTCACTCCATCATCAGCACTATCATAATCATCTTCGTCAGCACAAGCACGATCACACTCAAAATCGTCATTTGCGTCACCATCATCATCAGCAGCAGCATCAGCATCACCTCCTCCTCATTATCATCGTCATCGTCTTCGCCATCATCAGCATCATCAGCAACATCAGCATCAGCATCCGAATCCTCATCACCATCATCACCATCATCATCAACAGCATCAACATCATCAGCAGCAGCATCAAGATCACCATCATCATCTCCATCATCATCATCATCATCATCATCATCATCATCATCACCACCACCATCATCATCATCAGCATCATCATCATCAGCATCATCATCGGCAGCAGCTTCATCATCAGTATCTTCACCATTACCAGCACAATCATCATTACCATCAGCAGCATAATCATCAGCACAATCATCGCCATCATTAGCATCAGCATCGTCATCATCATCATCATCATCAGCATCAGCACCATCACCTCCATCAGCATCACCATCAGCATCATCATCAGCATCATCATCGGCAGCATCATCATCAGCATCAGCGTACTCGTCACCAGCATCAACAGCATAATCATTATCATCATATTCATCATCATCATCATCATCATCATCACCATCGTCCTCTTCATGATAATCATCATCATCATCAGCAGCAGCATCATCATCGGCAGCATCATCACAATCATCATCCACATTTCATCATCATCATCAAACCTTCTCCTCCTCCTCATCCTCCTTCTCCACGTCTGCCTCATCGGCTTCCTCCCCATCCTCCTCGTCCACCGCCGCCTCATCCCCCGTCGCCTTCTCTTCATCATCCTCCTCTACGTCATAATCATCATCATCATCATCATCAGCATCATCATCATCATCATCAGCAGCATCAGCATCAGCATCATCCTCCTCCTCTTCGTCTTCCTCCGCGTCCTCCTCCTCCTCCGCCTCCGCCTCCTTCTCCTCCTCCTCCGCCTCCGCCTCCTCCTCCGCCTCCTCCTCCTGACCTTGCTCCTCCCCGCTACTCCCCTGGACAATAGCATCAGCGGCGATGGGAAGCAGGAGGGGGAGAGTAGAAGGAACAAGGAGGATACGTTGGAGGACGAGAAGGCGAGAGGAGGACAAGGAGGACGACGACAAAGCAAAGGATGAGGAAGCAAAAAACAGGATGGAGGAGAAGGGGGGGGACGAGAAGGGCCACGAGCGCAGTCAACCCTATTCCCGGCCGCGCGGATCCAGCCGTAGGGGGAGGCAGACAGAGTGAGTAGCATACATAGCAGAATCCTCCTCCTCCGTCTCATACGTCCTCCCCCTGTCCACCTCCGTTTCTTTTCCGGCATGGGGACAAATAAGTGGAACACCTTCATCTTCGACCCCGCGTTCGCGCCCCCTCCCCCCCAAATTTCGAAGTGGGGTTCGGACTCCCGCAGGCCATGGGGATTCCACAATGTTTGTCCTCGCACGCCTGTGCTGCCGAATGCGTCGGGCCAAGTTTGAAGTTGGAGGGAGGGGTCGGGGGCGCGGTTTGAAGGGTTCCACTTGTTTGTCCATCTATGGTTCACCACCTTGATTTTTAGGAGGGAGGAGTGCGTAGGTAGAAGGAATGGGAGAGGAGGAGGAGGCCCTACAGATACCACACATGCCACCATCAAAAAAAACACTGCCATCTTAGTACTATGTCATCGTCTTCATCTTCATGAGCGCCATCGTCTTCATCACAATGGCAAACAATGCATCCCATAATCGTCATCCTTGTCGCAGTCGTCGTCGCCGTGAACGTCGAAGTCATCATCAACATCAACATCATCATCATCATCACCATCATCATCATCATCATCATCATAAGCATCAGTATCAGCAGCAGCATCGTCATCGTCGTCATCATCCGCATCATAATCAGCAGGGCCTCTTCCGACCCTCGTCGCCAAAGAGATGATGTATTTGTGAGGAGCAGCGCACGGCGGCGAACTCGCGACAACAAGGCGAGCCACTGGACAGATGAACGAGCCTCGCATCCGGCTGTAGAAGCCACACTCAAGCTCATAGGGGAAGAAAAAGGGAGGGAGGGAGAGCTTGAGCAAACGTGGCAGTGGCCATACGGCGATGCTCAACTACAGTGCCTGCTTCCCGTACTGAATACACACAGCAGGGCCTCTTCCGACCCTCGTCGCCAAAGAGATGATGTATTTGTGAGGAGCAGCGCACGGCGGCGAACTCGCGACAACAAGGCGAGCCACTGGACAGATGAACGAGCCTCGCATCCGCAACCCGAACTCGAACTTGGCCTGGGGCCGAAAAAACAATCAGGGCTACCCTCCCATTCTGTCAGAGAGAGCGAGGGAGCGCTTGCTTTCACATGTGCGTACGAGTATGGCAGCGGCGGCTTTGGCAAAGGCAGCGGGGTAGGCGGCAGCAATGGCTGTCCAATGCTTCCCGCCTGGCGCCCGCCCACTGAGCTCGAGGTGGGGCCGGAGAGTCCTGCTGCAAATGCCTGGAGGGCCGCCGCATTTTTTCGACAGCTCCCACAATTCTCCGATGGCCCAGGCTTGCACTCGAGCAGCTTTCCTCCAGGGCGCGCCAAATTGGCACATGTGACAAATTACAGAAGTGCTGCTTTGCAAACTGAGAAGCTTCTGAAAAAGAGGCGACGACCACATCAGGCTGGTCTGGGGATTCTCAATCATGACGCCTACATTGTGTTTGAGGCATGCACGGATCACGTGAAGGGAAAATTGGAATGACTTATTTCCTATATCGAGCTTGCTAAACTGGTCAGGCGAAAGGTCAGGCCGCCCGTCAGGGCACTCAGCAGTCCGCAGCGGGACCCGAAGCGCACGGGTCCAGGTGCTGCAGGGCGTGCCGAGCCAGATCCTGGCGATGGCCCCACTCGCGATCCAGCCCAGGATCCTGTTGAGGAAGGTCGGGGTGAGATGGTTCTCAAGAGGCGAGCCGTTGATGTCCAGGCTGAGCGCTGCATGGCCCATGGCCTGCGCGCTGGCTGCGACGCGGCCACAACCCCCGAAGAGCTCGAGGAACAGCAGCGATCGCAAGCGCACTGCCCTGCCCAGGCTCGCAGCGAACCTCCTGCCGAGGTGGGCGCCCACGTCCCCGCCATGGACCAGGTGGGTCACGCCGGCCGCCGCTTTCGCCCGCGGCCGGCGGCGGACGTGGCCCCGCCGCTCTGGCCCGCAAGCAACAGGCTCCTCACGCTCGCCGGGACCTGGTCGAAAAGCGGGCCAGTCAGCCCATGCTCGACGAGCCCCGTGAAGTGGGTCATCACAAAGTTCCCGAAGCTGAAGATGTCGCTGTGGACCTCCTGCAGCTCCCGCAGCAGGCGCGCGGCCTTGGTGCATCGGCGGAGGCTCGACGCTGACACCCACCGGCCGCGCGCCCGAACCTGCCCCAGGCTTCGGCGGCCGGCCAGAAGGTCGTCTGACGCCCCGCCGTGCCGGAGCGAGTAGGGATGCGGAGCGAGCTGCCCCAGCCCCAGCAGGTCCGCGGCCGCCTTGAAACTCATCCTGAATTCCACCGCGCCGAAGTCCCACAGCGAGGCGTCGGCGCGCGTCGCCGCCTGGAGCCCGGCCAGCGCTGGCAGGATCCAGCTGTCTTTGTCGATGAGCACCGCGTCGTCCGTGGTGCCGGTCTTGGACGGCTGGCCGAGCTCGAAGTCGTGGAGAAGGAGCCCCCAGCTCGCGTAGCTCGCGCCTGCCGCCGACACCGGGGCGACCAGGTGCCTGCCCAGCAGCGCAATCCCCTCCAGCGGTCTGAGGTAGCAGATGAAGGTCAGCATGGCGTAGATGGCCATTCGGCGCTGGCCGAGGAACAGCATCACCCCGGCGATCGCCGCCGCGCCGGTCTTCGGCATCGGCAGCCCCGAGCGCCCGGGCGCCCGACGCTTCCAGGCCCCGGCCGCGCGGCACGCGCGTGGCAAGTGTAGCCCACTGCGCCGGGCCAGGCTCGGGTAGACGCGCGCCAGCGCCGCGATCAGCTGCGCCCCCAGGTCCGAGCACTTGCCGTCCAAGAACTGATGGTTCAGCAGCGCGGTGACCGCGTTGTCCAGCGACTCCCAGCTGTCCCAGTCCAGGTGGTACGTCCGGCAGAAGAGGACCAGCGTCGCCAGGCGGTTCTGGTACTGCCTCTGCGCGTTCGGGCGGACCGCCGCGGACTCGAGGACCGAGAGGCCGAAGGTCTGCACCGTGGAGGCGGCCACCTGCTGGGCGTTCCTCGCCCGCTCGACGGCGGCCTGCGACGCCGCTGGCCGCCGGCGCCCCGCCATGCGGCCGGGCAAGGTGCACGTGATAGGGAGTAGTGAAAAAAACCGTGATCGCCTCGAGACGGATTGTCAGCAGGATTGAGTTCGGACGGGACCCAACGTACAACTATCCTGCACCCTGTGGTCAGTGAAAGAGCAGCTATCTTCTGAAGCACGTGTCGGAGGTATCGAGAGTTTGCCCGCCCTTTTGTGGCCGCTAGGGCCAATGGTAAGTTGCCCACTATGAACAGGATCCTCTTCCCCAGAGCCCCAGTGTTTCTGAGCGCGTGACGAATAGCCATTAGGAGCGCCTCCCCCTCGAGCTCTAGGATGTCCGTGGACCCAGCGACCTTCGAGGCATGAACGACTTTCCAGGTGTCTGACTTCAGGAAGCCCATGGGGACCTCGTCGAAGACCACGGGGTTGTCGACCAGCAGGTTCTCAAGGGCCTTGTCGGGGTCATCGACGGAGTCCACAGGAGCCTGATGAAGTGCACGTTCGCGAGCCCGCTGGGCCCCGTCAACCCGAAAACGCCATCTCTCACTGCATCGGCCAATTGAGGATACCAGCTGGATGGGAGCTCTTCGGACAGTGACTCCGAGACCAAACAACGAAGCGTCTGATGCGGCTACCTCTGGCCACCACTCGGCGCTGAGGTCAACACTGAGCAGCGGTAAGATACAGCGCGCTCGCCAGAGCTCGCGCCGCACTGATCTCCACAGTCGGGCCTGTCGCTGCCCGATCCGCTCTGCAAACTGGTAGCATGAGTTGAGCAAAGAGAGGACTTCGCGACGAATCAACCCAGCCCATGTAAAGTGACCGATGATGATTCTGAGAGCGTCTCCTGAACAGAAGCCCTTCCTGAGCAGGGCGTCGATCCCAAAACGAAGCCTCCAAATGCTCCTGGCCTTAATCGAAAGATCACGTCCTCTCTTCAGCTCTAAACCTACGAAAGTGGCATCGCGGGCGGCTGGCTCCTCATCGTGCGTGAGCAGCCCCTTATCCGTCAGCACGCGCGTGACGGCGAGGGCGGCCCGGTCGACGATGGCCGGCGAACGACCCAGGGCAGCGTAGTTGTCGACGTAGCCGGCGACCGCCAGGGCGCCCTCCTCGCCGACCACGACCCCGGCCTTCCCGTCCTCGATGCACTGCCCCTCTGTGAACCCCGCGGTGCCCAGGGCCCGCCGCAACACGCCCTGACAGAGGGCCAGCGCGTGGCTCCAGCCCATCGGCAGCACGCAAACGCAGGGCTGCACCCGCGCCCCTCGCGCGAGCTGCGCCCCGCCCAGGCGCGTGATCCCGAGCAGGCTGGCATCCAGGGCGGGCAGCCTGAAGTAGGACGACAGGCCGTCGGGCAGCCGCAGCCTGTAAAAAGCATCGTCGATGTCGCCCGAGGCAATGTAAGTGTCGCGCCCTGGGTTCTCGAAGGCCGCCAGCGCTGTAGCCGTCGGCAAAGCGGTCCGAGCTGGTCGCCCGAAGAATAGATTTGCATACCTCGTATCAAATATCACTCTCAACTTGTTGTTCTTCTTCGCGACGAAGAAGCAGCCGACGGTGGCCGCATCACAGTCCTCATTCAGCTCCGCCATGCCGCGGGCCAACAGCTTGGCGACAAAATCGGCGTAAAGCAGAGGCTTACTGAAGAGACTGGGGTCAAAAAAAGGCCCAGCCGGGCAGAACTCAGCACGTTCGGCTGCTGTAGGTTGATCTGGCCTGAGCAAGGTGCTTTGCCAGCGGCCCAGCCACTCAGACTCGGCCTCACCCAGGCAGGCGCACAGCGGGACGGGCTGCACGTCGGGCGAGGGCCAGGAAATGGACTCCTTGACATACGGCCGTCGGGAAGAGAGATCACCCGTCTGGTAGATCCCCATCCCCGCGAGGAGCTCACGAAGGGCCCCCTGGCGAAAGCCTGCCTCTGGTGGGGGCTTGCCCAGCGCGCGCACTCGCGACTCGACATGCTCCACTGCGCGTCGCTGACCAGCGTGGGCGGGGACCGCCGGCCGATCCTAGTGGCCGTACAAGTCGTTCAGGGCGTCGATGCAGTCGTCGCCCCAATCGAGGATGTGCTTGGTAGCCTCACCACGCCGCCTGGTGACCCTGGACAGGTCCCGGCGGCCCGCCGCGCCGACGTGATCTCGGCGCAGCGGGGGCAGCGGAAAAATGTCGCGCTGGCGGGCACTCTGCCCCAGCATGTCAAAAACCTCTCTGTTCGGCGGACCGGTAGAGGCACCGCGGTCCACAGGCGTCTCAGTCAGGGGGCCGCGCCGGCCGCCTGGAACCAGCGCGGCCGAGGGGAACATCACCCCTCCTCCTCCTTCTTGTTCTTCTTGTTGTTCCCCTTCTTGGCAAGCTCCCTCTCCTCCCGGGCCTTGCGCCGCTCCTTGAGCAGCGCCTGCTCCTTGGCCAGCTGGGCGCTGGCCCACTCCTGGAGGAGAGGGCATACACACACTCCTCCTCGTGTCAGCTCGCTGCCCATGTACAGGTGAGTGTCGACGCTGTCGGGGCCACCGCCTCCTGAGCCGCCCGCGCTCCTGTCGCGGTACCTCTCCTGCTGCACCTGGATGTTCCGCACGAGCAGCTCCACGGCCGCCAGGTTCGCGCCATTGCACTGGTCGTAGCAGATGAGCTCCTCCAGCGCGCGGCACGAGCGCTCATGCTCCTGCACCCCGGGCTCGTGCTCCTGGAGGCGGGCCTCACTGCGCCACCGAGAGTGCATCCCCGTCGGCGTCCCGCCGTGGTCGACGATGTACCGCAGGACCCAGAGCGCGGTGCGCGGCCCGCGCACGGGCCACCCCGCCCACGGGTCTTCCCGGCAGGCCAGCACCGCCTCGCGGAACTCCCGCCGACGGTTGCCCATGGCGTCGTACACCACCGGGAGCACCCTCGCGTCCTGGACATGCCCGCCAGCACCCGCACCACCCGCGGGCGCGCCTCCCGCCGCAGCGGGCGGGCCCGCGGCGGCTGCGGCGGCGCCCGCGTCCGCGGGCACGGGGGCGGCGGCGGCCCCTGGGGCCCCGGCGGCAGCGGCGGCGAGCACTCCGTCGGCTCCTGGAGCCACGACCGCCGCGGCGCCGGCCGCAGCGGGGGCGGGCAGCGGGGCTGGAACCAGCACGCCGGCTGGTGCTCCTGCCGCTGGGCCGCCGAGCGCCGCCACCAGGCCGCCAAGCCCCGCCGCCGGGGCCACTCCGCCCGGCGCAGCTGCCGCGGCCGCCGCTGGCGCGCCGGGTGCCCCGCCAAGCGGGGCCGCGGCGCCTCCGGCTTCGACCGCGCCAGGCGCGGCACCTCCCGCCGGCGGCCCGACGAGGCGCCCGCCGAGGGCTGGCACCAAGGGCCCGCCTGGCGCGGGCTGGCCCAGGCGCCCGGCAGCAGCCACAGCGGACGCCGTGAGGCTCGCGGCGGTCGGCATCGCACCAGCTCTGAACCGATAGTATCGCGCTCCTGGCCGACCCATCAACACGCCACCCGGCTGTCGGTTTGGCAGCGGTTCCCACTCGACGATGTCGGGCAGGCCCCACACCTCCTCGTACTCGTCACCATCGGGCGTGGTGATGGACACGGTCAGCCCGGCACCCAACGGCAGGTAGTGAACCAGCCTCTCGTGGTACAGGGGCACACCTGGGACGTTGTAGCGCACCACACAGAAGTCGCCCACCTGCAGGTCGTGCGACGCGGTGAGCGGGTGTCGGCCAGCAGCTGCCAGCATCATTGCGCCAGAGCCTTGGCTTTGTACTGAGCCACCTGGGCCCGAGCAGTGGTGTCCAGGTCGTCGGCGTACCGCCCGCCCTTAGCTCCCCAGCGCGTCAGCCGGCCCGTGAAGAAGGACAGCAAGGCGACGCCAGCGCAGAGGACCGCAACCGTGAGCGGCGTCACCGGCGAGATGTGGGCCACGTCGCCAGTCGTGCAAGTCAGTGGCGGACACTTCAGGACTGGCGAGCACTCACACGCGGGGCAAGTCGGCCGCCCAGCCCACACGACGAGGCCAGTCGAGGCCCCCTCTGCGATCCGCCCGACAAGCTGGCGAAGGGCGGCTTGCATCACCAGAATGGGAGGGCGCCCTGACTCAGAGCTTGAGCAAACGTGGCAGTGGCCATACGGCGATGCTCAACTACAGTGCCTGCTTCCCGTACTGAATACACACATCATCAGCATCAGCATCAGCATCGTCAACAGCAGCACCAGCATCAGCATCATCATCAGCATCAGCATCTTCAGCATCATCATCAGCAGCATCAGCATGATTATTATCATCGTAATCAGCATCCTCATTATCGTCATCAGCATACTCCTCAGTATTATCACCATCAACTTCGTCGTGTCGTCATCGCACCACCGTTATCATCGTGGTAACCGTCATAAACGTCATCGTCATCAGCATCAGCAACATCATCATCAACATCATCGTCATCATCAACATCATATTGGTCGTGCTAACCATCATCATCGTCGACGTGGCCACGATGCCGCCGTCATCATCCCGCAAACCGTCGTCATCGCCATCATCGTCATCATCGGTATCATCATCAGCATCAGCATCAGCATCGTCACCATCACCATCATCATCAGCATCATCATCGTAATCATCATCGTCATCAACATCAGCATCATCATCGTCAGTATCATCAGCATCCGTCGACACGGCCACGATGTCGCCATCCTCATCGTGTTAAACGTCAGCATCACCATCATCATCATCGACATCAGTATCACCACCACCACCATCACCATCATCATCACCACCATCATCATCATCAGCATCATCATCATCAGCATCATCATCATCATGATCATCACCATCAGCATCATCATCAGCATCACCATCATCATCGTCATCGTCATCGTCATCGTCATCATCGTCCTCCTCATCCTCATCATCAGCATCGTCACCACCAGTACCAACCTCAGGTGAGAGGAGGGGAAGAAGGGGGAGGAGACGGAGGAAAAGGATGGCCACGTGCATGGACGAGAGGATGGGACGCAAGGGAGGAGCGTGGGGAGGAAAGGAGAGAAATGGGGTGAGCAGGACGGAGAGACGAAGGGAAACACGAGGAGGGCAAGGCAGGGCAAAGAGAATTACCCTGTGATGTACCCAACCCATTTGTATCAATGGAAACGAGGAGTTGGCCGAAACTTGCATGGACAATCAACTTGACGTGTAAGCTACTTGGGACACGCGCCTATGGCATGATGCGCAGGAGAACCATACAAGGACGAGGGGCGACAGCTACAGGCTCGAAGAGGACATGGGGAGTCGGGAACGCAGAGCAAGAGAAAAACGTGCGGGAAGCCAAACCATCAGAACGGCAGCAGCAGAGGGAAGGTGACTGCAGGAGGAGAACAAGGACGAAAGCGGCGTCTAATTTGAGTCTGCGGTGGGTACCCACTGTGCTGTGCCCCTCAGCAGCCCTCGAAACTGGCGACAGTTTCACAGATCGCAGCCCCCCAGGGATGGCAAGGTCTAATTTGAATCTGCGGTGGGTACCCACTGTGCTGGGCCCCATCAGCAGCCCTCGAAAGTGGCGACAGCTTCACAGATCGCAGCCCCCCAGGGACGGCGAGGTCTAACTTGAGTCTGCGGTGGGTACCCACTGTGCTGTGCACCCCAGCAGCCCTCGAAAGTGGCGACAGTTTCACAGATCGCAGCCCCCCTGGGATGGCGAGGTCTAATTTGAGTCTGCGGTGGGTACCCACTGTGCTGGGCCCCCCAGCAGGCCTCGAAAGCGGCGACGGATTCACAGATCGCAGCCCCCCAGGGATGGCGATGTCTAATTTGAGCCTGCGGTGGGTACCCACTGTGCTGGGCTCCCCAGCACCCCTCGAAAGTGGCGACAGTTTCACACATCGCAGCCCCCCAGGGATGGCGAGGTCTAGTTTGAGTCTGCGGTGGGTACCCACTGTGCTGGGCCCCCCAGCAGCCCTCGAAAGTGGCGACAGCTTCACAGATCGCAGCCCCCCAGGGATGGCGAGGTCTAATTTGAATCCCCGTGGGCGTCACTGTGCTGGGCCCCCCAGCAGGCCTCGAAAGTGGCGACAGTTTCACAGATCGCAGCCCCCCAGGGATGGCGAGGTCTAATTTGAATCTGCGGTGGGTACCCACTGTGCTGGGCCCCCCAGCAGGCCTCGAAAGTGGCGACAGTTTCACAGATCGCAGCCCCCCAGGGATGGCGAGGTCTAATTTGAATCTGCGGTGGGTACCCACTGTGCTGGGCCCCCCAGCAGGCCTCGAAAGTGGCGACAGTTTCACAGATCGCAGCCCCCCGGGATGGCGAGGTCTAATTTGAATCTGCGGTGGGTACCCACTGTGCTGGGCCCCCCAGCAGGCCTCGAAAGTGGCGACAGTTTCACAGATCGCAGCCCCCCAGGGATGGCGAGGTCTAATTTGAGTCTGCGGTGGGTACCCACTGTGCTGGGCCCCCCAGCAGGCCTCGAAAGTGGCGACAGTTTCACAGATCGCAGCCCCCCAGGGATGGCGAGGTCTAATTTGAATCTGCGGTGGTACCCACTGTGCTGGGCCCCCCAGCAGCCCTCGAAAGTGGCGACAGTTTCACAGATCGCAGCCCCCCAGGGATGGCGAGGTCTAATTTGATCTGCGGTGGTACCCACTGTGCTGGGCCCCCCAGCAGCCCTCGAAAACAGTTTTACAGATCGCAGCCCCCCAGGGATGGCGAGGTCTAGTTTGAGTCTGCGGTGGGTACCCACTGTGCTGGGCCCCCCAGCAGGCCTCGAAAGTGGCGACAGTTTCACAGATCGCAGCCCCCCAGGGATGGCGAGGTCTAATTTGAATCTGCGGTGTGTACCCACTGTGCTGGGCCCCCCAGCAGCCCTCGAAAGTGGCGACAGTTTCACAGATCGCAGCCCCCCAGGGATGGCAAGGTCTAATTTAGATAGGCGGTGTGTACCCACTGTGCTAAGCCCCCCAGCAGCCCTCGAAAGTGGCGACAGTTTCACAGATCGCAGCCCCCCAGGGATGGCGAGGTCTAATTTGAATTTGCGGTGGGTACCCACTGCGCTGGGCCCCCCAGCAGGCCTCGAAAGTGGCGACAGTTTCACAGATCGCAGCCCCCCAGGGACGGCGAGGTCAAATTTGACTCTGCGGTGTGTACCCACTGTGCTGGGCCCCCCAGCAGCCCTCGAAAGTGGCGACAGTTTCACAGATCGCAGCCCCCAGCAGCCCTCGAAAGTGGCACAGGGATAGCCAGGTAGGAGGCAGGGGGGAAGAGAGGGACGGGAGGGGGTGGGAAGGAGACGGTGGGAAGGAGACGGTGGGAAGGAGACGCGCGAGCAGTGCTCTATTCAAAACGAGAACCCAACGCAGGAGGGTTGGGAAAAATGAGATAGGGAGGAGGGAGGAGGGACGCGAGGGGAAACGGGGAAGGGAGCTCGGAGGGAGAGGGGGGAGAGGGGGGAGGCTGACCTGAGGGCTCTCCGGGGCTCCCCCTGCTCTGTCTCCAAGGGCCTCCGTGCCTCTGATGCCCTGGGGGTGAGTTACTGCGACTCATCTGGGCCACGGCGCCTTTGGCGTGCCCCAAAAATAACAAGTGGCACGTGTGCGATGGCTCTTGCACAAAAAGGCAGGGGAAGGATCGGAGGGGTGCGCGGTGCCGAAATACAGGGTCGGCGCGCTGGCTTATGAGTGGGTGGGGGCGTGGGGGGGGGGCGTAATGAAAGGGTCGGGGCGGAGGGGCGCGCTGGCTGGTGGGTGGGGGGGATGCGGAAGGGGCGGAAGGGGCGCGCGGGAGCTCGGGGAGGGAGCGGGGGCGTGCCGAAATAAAGAAGGTCGCGAGGCGTCGGAGGGGCGCGCTGGCTGAAAGTCGGGTTGGGGGGGGGGAGGGGGGGCGTGCCGAAATGAAAGGTGGTCGGGGACGGAGGGGCGCGCTGGCTGGTGGGTGGGGGGATGCGGAGGGGGTGTCCCGTGCCGAAATGAAGGGGTCGGGGCGGAGGGGTGTGCCGTGCCGAAATAAAGGGGTCGGGGCGGAGGGACGCGCTGGTTGGTGGGTGGGGGGGATGCGGAAGGGGGTGCCGTGCCGAAATAAAGGGGTCGGGCGGAGGGGTGTGCCGTGCTAAATGAAGGGGTCGAGGCGGAGGGGCGCGCTGGCTGGTGGGTGGGGGGGATGCGGAGGGGTGCGCCGTGCCGCAATGAAGGCGTCGGGGCGGAGGGGTGTGCAGCGCCGAAAGAAAAGGAGTCGGGGCGAGAAGGGGCGCGCGGGGGGGGGGCGTGCCGAAATAAAAGGGTCGGGGCGGAGGGGGTGCGCTGGCTGGTGGGTGAAGAAATGCAGGGTGCGCCTGCCGAAATAAAGGTGTCGGGGCGGGGGGCGCGCTGGCTGGGTAGGGGGGGTGCGGAGGGGGTGTGCCGTGCCGAAATAAAGGGGTCTAGCCGAAATAAAAGGGGTCTGGGCGGGGGGGCGCGGTGGCTGGTGGGTGGGGGGATGCGGAGGGGGTGTGCCGTGCCGAAATAAAGGGGTCGGGGCGGAGGGGTGTGCCGTGCCGAAATAAAAGGGTCAGGCGGAGGGGCGCGCTGGCTGGCGGGCGGGGGGGGATGCGGAGGGGTGTGCCGTGCCGAAGTAAGGGAAGTCGGGGTAGAGAGGCGTGCGTGCCGAAACAAAGGTGTCGGGGCGGAGGGCGCGCTGGCTGGTGTGTGCGCCGTGCCGAAAAAAAAGGGGTCGGGGCGGAAGGGCGCGCTCTGGGTGGGTGGCGGGGGTGCGGAGGGGGTTCCCCGTGCCGTAATAAAAGGGGTCGGGGCGGAGGGGGTGTGCCGTGCCGAAATGAAGGGTCGGGGCGGAGGGGCGCGCTGGCTGGTGGGTGGGAGGGGTGCGGAGGGGGTGTGCCGTGCCGAAAATAAAAAGAGTCGGGGCGGAGGGGTGTGCCATGCCGAAATAAATGGGGTCGGGGCGGAAGGGCGCGCTGGCTGGTGGGTGGCGGGGATGCGGAGGGTGTGTGGAGGGGGTGTGCCGTGCCGAAATAAAAGGGGTCGTGGCGGAGGGGGTGTGCTGTGCCGAAGTAAAGGGGTCGGGGCGGAGGGGCGCGCTGGCTGGTGGAATGCGTGGGCGATGGAGGGGGTGCCGTGCCGAAATAAAGTGGTCGGAGCTCTAGACACCCTGTGCAAGAGAATAAAGATAATGATGGTGGTGATGACGACGTAACCGCGAATGGGGACTCTGTTCGGAGGGCGCGGCGGCGCGGCGAAGCCCGTGGGAACGTTTCCGCATGAGTCGTGGGGAGGTTCGGATAACTGCACGCGAACACATACAACAAACGGTTCATAAGACATGACTGCCCTCCCCCGCCTCGGACGGCCGAGGCGGTGTCACCCGCAGCCAGGACGCACTGTGAGTCCGCGGCCCCGTTCGGGCCTCACTGGCGCCTACAGCACTCCTGAGCCGAGCCCGACAAAACGCGCGACTAGGTTTCCGAGCCGAGTACTCGATTGCTGGCAATACTAAAAACGCTTGCTGGCCTCCTGTACACGACTGTTGTTCGTAGAATGTCCTTCTCAACGCCAGGATAAGGCAGTGCGCATGAGATAACAATTTGGGGCCGACTTTGAAATTGGTGGGAGGGGGGCGCGATGTCAAGGGTTCCACTTTTTGTCCACCGACGGTCCCCCTCCTAGGTTCCCCCCCACTCTCCTCCGCCTTAGCCTCCTACGTTCCCCCTCCCCCGCTCAAACTACCGCTAGCACCAGAAATAATACGATGTCCTATCGCGCCACTGGCACCACGGGCTCGGAATCACACCGCATCGCCGATGCATCGCCGATGCGGCGCGATCCTCCAACTCCATCCGCTCCAGCCCCATCCCTGCAAAAGCAGGGGGGGGAGAGGACGCAGGGGAGGGGGCTGGAGCAGGTAGGGGAGAGCACGTGCACCCCGCTCCCGTGCTCCTCATCTGCTCTTCTCGTGACACGACCGAAAGCGGGGGCGTCCCCCGCGACGGGCGCTTCATCTCGAATCGCTCTCCGACTTAGGACGGGACTGATGCCATGATACGATTGGCTCAGGGCAAGTGCCCGCCATTCCAGGGTATCTAGCTGCCCTCGTTTCTGAAGCCCGTGCGGAGAACATTCGGAACTCGAGAAAATCCTGTAAATCTTCGGACGTATCATTAACACAGCCTCTTGCTCCTCTGACGACTACCCTGGGGCCCAGGAGAGGCACTGAGAGCCCGAAAACGTCGAACAAGTGCACGCCCCCTCTCCCTCCATGGACACCACCTCTCCACAAATGCTTTCGCATCTTTCCTCTGAGCCCGAGGCGCGCGCAAGAAGATTCTTGCGCCAGCGCCAGCACAGCGTAACGAGTCGCGGGCGGCGGGAGGGCCAACTGGGGGGGGCAAAGACAACATCAGTGGCACGCCGACGTGGGGAGCCCATCGGCGTGCTACCGCGGAAGAAACACGGCATCTCCGGACACAAACAGAACACTATAAAACGTTGACGGGCTCCCGCTGGCACGCGAAACGGGTACACGTCGGTCGGAACAGGTAGGTAAAAACATGAACTAGGAAGGCGGATAAAGTAAATTGAGCTCGGGCCCTCTCAGAGAAAAACAAAACACAGCAAAGGCACATCGTTTAGCGCCTAAAGTAGGTTGTGTGATTGGGACGTATCAATTCAAAAATACCTATACGACCACCCTGCGGGTGATAAGGAGGTTGGGGAGGAGGGGCCCAGCAATGGGCAACAATGGTGATTGTTGTTCTAACGACGCACCGCCATCGTCACAATCGATGTCTCATTCGGTCTCACAATCGATCTCACAATCGATCTCACAATCGACGTCGTCATCATCATCATCATCATCATCATCATCATCATCATCATCATCATCATCATCATCATCATCATCATCATCATCATCATCATCATCATCATCATCATCATCATCATCATCATCATCATCATCATCATCATCATCATCATCATCATCATCATCCATCATCATCATCATCATCATCATCATCATCATCATCATCATCATCATCATCATCATCATCATCATCATCAATCGCATCATCCATCATCATCATCATCATCATCATCATCATCATCATCATCATCATCATCACCATCATCACCATCATCACCATCATCACCATCATCACCATCATCACCATCATCACCATCATCACCATCATCATCCATCATCAGCATCATCATCATCATCATCATCATCATCATCATCATCATCATCATCATCATCATCATCATCATCATCATCATCATCATCATCATCATCATCATCATCATCATCATCATCATCATCATCATCATTATCATCATCATCGTCATCATCATCATCGGGACACCGACGGGACACCGGCGGGACGCCGGATCTCACTATCGATCTCATTCGATCGATCTCACAATCGATCTGACAATCGATCTCACAATCGATCTCACTATCGATCTCACAATCAATCTCTCATTCGGTCTCACTATCGATCGCACGATCGATCTCACAGTCGATCTCACAATCGACGTCATCATCATCATCATCATCATCAACATCAGCATCAACATTAACATCAACATCATCAACATCATCATCATCATCATCATCATCAACGTCATCGTCATCACCACCATCATCATCATCATCACCATCATCACCATCATCACCATCATCATCACCATCATCACCATCATCACCAACATCACCATCATCACCATCATCACCATCTTCACCATCATCATCGTCATCATCATCACCACCATCATCATCACCATTATCATCATCATAATCATCATCATCATCATCATCATCATCATCGTCGTCGTCGTCGTCATCATCATCACCGTCATCATCAGGACACCGACGGGACACCGGTGGGACACCGGCGGGACACCGCGGGCCACCGGACGCCGGAAGGGAGTCATTTGGTCCGGCCGCGCCGCAGCCACAGCGGAACACCGGCGGGACACCGCGCGGCACCGGTTGCTTGAAGGGAGTCATTTGGTCTGGCCGCGCCTCAGCCACAGGAGACTTTCCTCTCGCACGCCCACGCAGCTTCGCCTCGCCCGCACGCACGGCGCGCACGAACACGAAACCGAAATCGATTTCCTGGTAGGGGGGCTTTCTGTTCCACTTCGATCTCACCCCCCAACCTCCGACCTACTTTCAAATGTTATCAAATGTTGTTTAGAACCGACAGCGACCGTGGTTGGGCGGGCGGATGCCTGTCTCAAATGGACCACATCCGCGGCCACACCAAGACAGCGAGCCCTTCAGACTTGACAAGAACTGCTCCCAGTCTCCGACCCAACTCTGTCCGTACAGTCGGACCTAGGCCAGAAGAACATCCCTCAAAAACATGAGACCCTCCGTCGGCCAAAACAAACGGAACATCTACGGGTACCCTCCCCAGGATGCACAAAAACACCCAACAAGCACGAAGACCTCGATCTTATACCTCGGTCCTACCTCGACTACGCTGAGTTCCCAATCGCGGCGTACAACTGGTGCTCTATTTCCCCCTCACAAGAAAGGTCGGAACTTGGAGGCGGCCAGGGGGTCTGAACTGGTTGGGACCCCAGAAGATCGGTTAGGAGGGGTAACGAAGCCAAATCCGCTCAAAATCAGTCCCCGGACCCTCCTGGAGTCCATCTGGTGCAGCTCTTCACCCCCGATCCATTTTTCACTGTCCCGGGGCCCAAACACGGCCCCCAGAGGCCGGAATAGACAAAAAGCCTTCCCAAACCTGGGATCCTCCAACCTCTTCCCCCTCCCTTCCTGCTGGCCGCAAGACCATCGCTGGGCCACTTCGAACCTCCAGCCGGCTCCAAGTCGGAAGGGCCAACAGGCGCCCCTGGAGGGCGGCGGACACACGTCGACGCCGCCCACCCAGAGGGCGGCGGAGGCGCCAGCGGGCGTGCACGCGCGCACGGGACGCGCCCGCCGGCGCCACCGCCGCGCGGCGGCGGCGGCCGCGCCGTGGCGCCGCAGCGCAGGAAGGCGCTGGGGCTCTCAGAGGGTCGAGCACCTGTGCATGGTCTCCTCGGGCGCGGGCGGGCACGGGAGGCCGGCAGGAAGGGGCCGAGGTCGGCGGCGAGCGAGGGGGGATAGTGGCAAGGCAGGCAGGCGCGGGCTCGGTCGGGCGCTGCCTGAGGGGAATGGCAACAGGGAGGGCGACCGGTGGGAGCATCGGGGGCGTCCCTGAGGGGGCGTCCAAAGAAGGGGGCTCGCGGATGATGGCCCGAGGCATGTGCGCGGACGAGGAGTGGGGCCGCGGAAGTTTTGCAAGAAGAGCGGGGGCCATGAAACCCGCGAAGATAGCATGGCCCCCGCCATGATATCCACCCCTGGGAGGACTTCGAATACACGCAAGAGTGACACTACGCATAGGGTGACCTTTGGTGAGCGACTTTCGCGGACCGCGGGGAGGCCAATCCTGAGAGCGCATGACGCTGCGACCGCATCGCGTTCAATCATCTGGGGACCCGAATGGGCCTGTATCGAGGGTCACTCCAACGAGAAGTCACTGTCACGTTCAGCCGAAGAGTTGTGGAAAGGGGGGAAGCTGGGGAGGAAACATCGATGCAAAAGTATAAGAGGCGGGGGAAAAGAGGACGGAGAGGAGGAAAGGAGGAGGAAAAGGAGGAGAAGCAGGCATTGAGCTTCGGATAACATCGCCTTCAACGCCAGCGCCAACTGAAGGACGAAGAGGGGGGGCGTACAAAATTACCCTGGCGAAAGATCCAACCGTATGCGGTTGCGAATACCGTGTTTGTGCAAATCGTTTTCAGGAGATCTCCTCATGGGGCCTTGGGTGGAGCTGCCTGTGGGGCCCCGAAACGTGGGAAACATGGGAGGGGAAGGGTGGGGGGACGCATGCGAATAGTGGCGCTGGGACATTGGAGCTTCCTGAGGGGGCATGCAAGGTGTGAGGGGTGTGCCGACATGGGTGGGGAACCGCTTGCACACGTCGCCACTGGTGCCTTCGGTGGAGCTCTCCACGGGGGCGCTAAACGTGTAAGAGGTGTGCCGTAAGGAGTGGCGGGGACGCATGCGGAGGGTGCCGCTTAAGCCTTCGACGAAGCTCCTTGTGGGACCGCGAAGCGTGCGGGGGGAGGGCCGACATGGGTGGCGAGGACGCATGCGGACAGCACCACGTGGGGCCTTGAGTGGAGTTCCCTATGCGGCCCGTGTGAGGGTGTGCCGAAACAAGTGGCGGGGACGCATGAGAACGGCACAATTGGCGCCTTGGGTGGATATCCCCATGGGGGCACGAAGCGTGCGAGAGGCGTGTCAAAATGAGTTGCGGCGACGCACGCGGACGGAACTATTGATGGGGCCACTGAACGTGCGAGGGGTGTGGGTGGCGGGGACGCGTGCGGACGGCACCATGTGGGCCTTAGGTGGAGCTCCCTATGGGGGCTTAGAAACGTGCGAGGGGTGCGCCGACATGGCGGCGACGCATGCGGACGACACCATCTGGGCCTTGGGTGGAGCTCCTTGTGGACCACGAAAAGTGTTAAACGTGTGCCGAAAGGGGTGGCGGGGACACACACGCGTGCGGCACCATTTGGGCCTTGGGTGGAGCTCCCTATGGCGCCAAGAAGAAACGTACGAGGGGTGTGCCGAAATTGTTGACTGGTGCGGAGGGCAGAGGCAGGGAGGAGAGGGAGGAGGAGAGGGGGGAGGAGAAGAAATTGACGCGGGGCACTCTCCTCAAAACGAAGACCCAACACCACGGCACGATTCGGAAAAAGTCAAGGCGCTTCGGAAATGAGTTCGATCCTGGCGGGGCAGGCGACCTTCTGCATCCCTGGGGTCGGATATTGATGGAGGGCCGCTGTTTCTTTCCGATTGCCTGACTGGGGACTGGGGTGTGGTGTTGTGTAGTGTGGTGAGGTATGGTGTGGTGTGGACGCCATGGCGAGTTCATATCAAAGCGAGCCTCTCCCCTGAGCACCACGGACACCATGACGCGAGGCCGAGCGCCACCACGAAGAACTGAGACACTCCACTGCGAGGCAACATGACTTTTCACCATGTTGCGCAAAGAAAGCTCCAAGGAATGTTCGATATACGACGCCTGTCAAACCCACGGCACCACTCATTTCCTCCATCCAAGCAGGCCAGATACCAGAGTGCGAGGCAACAAATCCGCCGATCCGACGCGCGAGGTTCAAAAAGCCTAAGCTACAGCCTAGAGCCTGACCTTCAGCTCTGCTGGGGGGGGTGCCGGGGTGGCTGTGCCAGCGAGGGGGGGCCCTGGTGCGCCTGTGCTCCGCTTTGTTCCGCTTTACTCCGCCTTTTTGGGGGTCCTCAGACACGTCAAAACCTGGGCCGGCACGGGAATGGAAAGAGCGCCTCAGGAACTGGCCCGAGAGGGCTCACTGCACCCTTCGCTCTTGGAAGCCTTGGTGTGACGAGCTTGTTACGTCGCCGTCTCCGTTGGGAGCCCTGGTGTTCCTTAGCGTCCCTGGGGTTTCTTGGGAATCTACTGGGGCCTTTTTGGAACGTTTTGGAACTCTTGGTCCGTTCCTGGGCCAGCCCAGCCCCTACACCCAAGCAGCCCAGACCCCATACCGCCTCTCCGGGCCCGCTTGGGAGCCTCTTGGGGCCCTCTTGGGGCGATGTTGGGGCCGTCTGGGGGCCCTCTTGGGGCTCTCCGGGGCCGTCATGGAGCCCTCTGGGGCCGTCTTGGAGTCCTTTGGACCGTTTGGAGCTCCTCCGGGGCTGTCTTGGGGCCCTCTTGGAGTGTTGTCGGGCCTTTTTGGGGGCCGCTGTGGCCGTCTTGGGACGATCTTTGAACCGTTGTTGGCCCCCCCCCCCAAAAAAAAACGACCATGACAGATCAATGTTTCTTGCCCCTGGGGGCCGTCTCGGGAGCCTCTGGAAAGCCTCTGGAGCCATCTCGAACCTCTCGCGGGCCGTCCAGACGACATCTGCGGCTCTTTGGGGTTCGTCTTGGGGCCTGGTGCCCTCTTGGGCCGTCTTGGAGCCCTTGGGCCGCGTCACTCGAAGAAACAAATAGAAGCGGGCCATGGGAGCTGCCCGGGAGCCGCTTCACTTTAAAAAATACAAGGAAAGCTAGCCATTCGATCCCAGGTCCGCCCCCATCCCCCCTCCCCTCGACCCTTCCCTAGAGGGCTTCGCCCCACCAGAACGCTCTTCACTCGTACCTCGCTCTTTCTGTTATCTACAGTTCAGGACTTCTTAAGCATCACACAATCGCCGAAAGATCGGGCCCAGAAGCCCAACGCAGCCTCCAGTCGGCCGCAAACGCGCCCAACATGTCCTATGTGGCCCCGAGAACACCCCAAAGAGGGCGCCAAGAGGCAAAAGCCATTCAAACTCTGGTTGGAAAAACTTACATTTCTAGCATGTATGATTTCTCGGCTTCCACGCCGTGCACGTCGTTCCCAAAAGTTCCCAAGATTGTCCCAGAGACCCCCGAACGCCGCCCCCAGACGCCCCAAAGAGTCAATAGGCACCCAAGACGGCCCTAGAAAGCCCCAAGACAGCGCCAAGAGTGGCCCCAGAGGGAAAGCCCGAACCGGTAATTCCTGCCTTCCGACCCAAGATACCCCCTCGAAGTCCCTAGAGGCCATCCATAGCCCCCAAGATACCCCCACGAGACCCCCAAGCTGCCCCAGTTGCGAAGCCGCGCGACAAGCACATGGGCAGTTAAGACAAGCTACCGCGGTGCACAGCATATCCACACAGCTGTCTCCCAGCTGTCAGCTGGGATGAACGCAGTATCTTCGAAGAACAATCCGCAAGCGTCGCAGACGGCGGCTGCGCGTCTGCCGATTTCTCCGGCCAACGTCCGCCTGGGCTGGCCTCTTTTCCTAACGCCAAACGGCTTTTCTAGAAAGCAAGGAGAGAGAAGGGAGGGGGAGGGGGAGAGGCGAGAGGAAGGGGAGGGAGGTACAAAGATAGCCTCTCGGAGAGGGCGTCCTCCGGCACACCTTATCTGCCCAAGCAAACACAATTGTCTCTGCAACAAGACACAGCTCAGCTTAACGCGCCCGGCGAGTTGCAGCGCGCTGGCGTTTGTGACCTTGCTCCAATACGAGTGCCCGATGCCGAGAATACGTCGTAGGCACCTCGCCTGGAAGGCGTCCATTCTAGCCACCTCCTGCTTCTTCAGCCAAGTGGTGTATAAACTGTAAAGCAACTTCGTTTGCACGCACGCCTCGAATATCATCAGCTTCTTCTGGGTGGACACTTGCGGAGCGGGACCACACTCGCGACAGCGCGTCAAATTACGCTTTCGCCTGACCCAGCCGTCGGCTGAGCTCCGGCCGAGCTGACCCATCTGCCGAAGGCACGCTGCCCAAATAGACGAGGTGCTCTTTGCAAGGGATGAGACCGCCGTCCGGCTTACAAATGTCAGCCTCGCACCTCGTGGCAAGCATCTCCAACTTGCTCCAATTGAAGACGAGGCCGTAATTGGACCGGGAAGATTCGATCGAACTCGTGTAGGACTCCGCCTGCGACGCATATGTGCCGACAATCAGCGTGTCGTCCGCGTAGACGAGATCACTGACCTCGCCGCTGGCATCTCCCAGGCTCCGTCTGGCGTCGCTCAGGAGGACTGTCATGACCATGACAAACAGGAACGGTGAAAGCGGGCAGCCTTGGCAGATGCCTGCCTTTTGCGCCTGCCGGGAAGATGTCCACCCCGCGTCTCTCACAGCAAACACTCTTTCAGTGCAGATTGAACCCACGATGCTCAACACCCGCTCCGGGAGTCCGAAGCGCTTTAGAGCTGCGATCAATGCGTCGGGCATGACGCTGTCGAACGCTTTCGCCCAGTCGAGCGCCAGGAGCACGAGCTGCCCGTCTGGTGTCGCCCAAACCTCCTCCAGGCGCCGCGGCGCCAGGAAGACGGCGTCAGCAGTGCCGCTTTGGGACTTGAGCCCGAACTGCGCGCGTGCGCCAGATGCGCTCCTTGGCGCCTGCCTGCTTCAGCCGCTACAAGACGATGTTGGCGAAGAGCTTACAGCCGGCTTGCAGCAGACAGATCGGGCGGTGGCTCTCGC